ATATCCAGAAAACTGGAAAAAGCAAAGATTAAGTAATTTAAAAATAAACCAGGGTTATGCAAGAAGCACACCTACGAAAGGTCTTCTTTCTTAGCCAGAAATAATTATTCAAGTGAGACTATTAATCAGTTTGCCACACGAGCACTTAATAAAATTATTTTTGGGACTGTAGATAACTCAGTCAAAGCAATAATACTGTGAGAAATTAACTTGGCTTTTCATAGCACAGCAAACACCTGTAGGGCTGTCAAAAACCACAATTCCCCAGATGAAAGGGTTAGGAAGCTGTAAAATAACTTAATTGCATCTAATTAAAACCCACAAAGGCTATCAGGAAATAAAGGCCAGAGGCCAGAACTGTTTGTAATAAATACACACAGAACTGGAGCATAGCACATGTAAATATGCTCCAAGCGTATTAATAGCAACCATTTTTCAGGGACACATTGCTCTTGATTAAGTTTCGGGTAAACAAACGAGTGAAATCCCTTCCAAAGCAGAGAGTGACAGCATCATGTTGTGACAGTCATGCATATATGAGGTTTCATTAGCAGGTCCCTTAGTAAATCTGCAGACCGAAACGTGACAACAAATTGGGCTATGTAACAACGTCAGTGTGCTGATGTGAATTTCCATACAACCACTGTTGCTATGTACAAATGCTCACAGCTCAACCTCAACTGAACAACACACCTTGTTTCACCGAGATGGCCAGGAACAGCAGTACAACACAGTTAGCAGAGGAGACACCAGCACATCCCAACTGAGATGCTAAAACTTAAACACTAGGAGATCAAGTAGACATAAGCCAGGTATTACCTATGTCTGAAACAGACATGTGTCAGCAAGAAGCAGAGTCTTTCAAAATTGTGAGAGTTTCACTCTAGACAGAGAGAAGAAACACAGCTCAGCATGCTCCAGTCACAAAAAATGCAGGGCAACAGGGCAAAAATGGCTGCATGTGATGGTATTTCAGAGGAAGTACAGCATGTCACAGCCCGTGCAGTATCAAGTTAGCACTCTTCAGCAGAGTTTCCCCTGCCCTTCAAGAAGTCTGAATATTTCCTCAATATTCAGCATCCAGGGATGCTGTAGGTATCTCCAATGCTACCTCCTCCTCCTAAAGCCAGTATGAGGGAGATGGACCTAAAAACTCATTTACTGTCTGCTTGTGGTGGTGAAAACAGCTTTTAGCAGGCAATGGATGTCACGGTAATTAGAAGCAGGCTTCAGACTTCTTAAAACTTGGAGTGGGTGATTTGGGCTTTCATTTTCTTTCCCCGATATGAAGGGCACTAAGGTGGCTTGATGCTACTTTGAAATACTTCCCTGCCTCAGAATCACACCATGTTCTCAGCCAAAAGCAGTGATGAGGCCAATGAAGCTGAGAGCAAAATCCACAGCAAGAAGAGAGCAGAACGCAACGAAACCCCAAGGTGCAGGCTCACTGCAACCAGCTCGACACATTCATTTAAATTAGTTACAAAAGAAAAGATCAGCTATAAAACAGGAGGACAGTACCAGGGGGTTCTCAAAACTCAAACCAGTTGTTTAACATGCTGAGCAAGGGGCTTGTAAAGCTCTGCAAGGAACCGAGCAGCACGAAGCAGATGGAATATTGCTCAGAATAAAGGAAGATCATAGTCAGAATGGACAGATTCCCATATTAAATTCATTGTGCTCTTTGTAATGTCTAGATGGATTAACAAGATTAATTCTTTCCACCTCAAAAAAAAAAATAACGTTGATAAACGAACAGTACAGAAGTGGATAAAGGGACACTATTCATCCCCTGTCAAGGCAAAAGAACAAGAAGCCAACCAAACAGGCTGAAGGGAAAAAGCTGAAAACTCAAGGCACAACACACACGGTACTACTCAGTGTCACAAGGGGTTATGGCAGCCAGACTCTGTAAGTTTAATATTAGTAAAGGTTCATATCTCTATTTTGAACAGCCAAAGGAGTAACTAAATTCACACTGAGAAGATCCTGGTTCTGGGCTAACTCCTACTACCAGCTGGGTGTTACACAAACATTTTTGAAGTCTAAGACTGCCTATCAGTAAGTACAGAGCTAGTAACACGCTTCTTTGCAAATGTATTTGAATTTTACTGGTGAAAAATGCTTCATAAAACAGAGATAAATTAAGATTGTGAAAGGATGCCTGCTGTTTTCTGGGCACATCAGAATCTCCCCACTGCCTGGATGGACAATGAGACTTGATTATGCAGACATATTTGCATCAAGTTGGCCCTTACAAATGTTTTCACATTGTCCTGGGAATTGTGGGGCCAGACCTATGCCACAGATAGGCTGCTGGGGTGTTGAGTCCCTGGTCTGGGCATGTTCAACTTGGTCCTTATGTAATTATTGCTCCTGGACTGTCTAATGCATACTGTTACATTGGGTGGTGAGAGGGGCTCTGTAGCCCCTGGGCCAGCAGAGTGTGTTATCAGCAAATGTCTTTCTGCCAATTTTTTCTGTTTTTTTTTCCTGTCTCTTAAGCTGAGGGGATTCCTGCACAGGGGAGAAAGCTGTGTGGAGGCCAAGAATCTGGATGGGCAAACACAACCCCACCTGGAAAGCCATGGAGTTAGCTGCAGCCAGAAAGATCCGCAAAGGCAGCTTGGCTTTGTAGGAACGGTGGCTCCACAGACGATGCGCACCAGCTGTCACACCCAGGGCTGTCGTCAGGAAACAGAAATATGCTGAAAGACACAAAAACAAAACACAGGATGTGCCAGGGGACAAATGCCATTATTTTTGCTTTCTTTGATGCAAAGATGATCCTTGCCCCTGCCTGCTGACACCTGCAGGGTCACTCAGAAGATGAGGCTGGGCAGACAGGAGGTGAGGTTCTCAGCCCACCTCTGCCCTGCAGCCCCAGGGACATGTCGTTCCACTGCCCACCCCTCCCCACTTAGCCAATGCATTGCTCAGGAAAGTTTGGCAGCACTGAAGCACCATGCCCTGACATGTTTACACTGTGTGCCTTCACCAAGTACAGGGGAGTGGAAGTTCATCACTCATGTCAGAAGAGTAGCAACAACTTTTCTAACAGGACACTGTTAGCCTCCTCCAGACAGGTCTTTGCTCAAGTCCAATCTGTGAGCTAGTTTAAGAGCATCACGTCCCACCCCTAAAGATATTAGCTGTGTCAGAGTTTCCACAATAAAAATTTCTCTTATCATCAGGAGCTCATAACTCTGTAATAAAAATGCACCAGGAAGTGGAACATTCGCCAACTCCCTCAGTTTCAGGAACTGTTTTTCCTTCCCTTAATTAAAATATTGGCCAAGTAAACTTTTTTGAGCATTTTTTCAGATGGCCAACACGGCATGGGAGCAGGTCTGTTCCTTACCACACTGGCTCCAGGCTAGACACACAGCCCAAGCACACATGTCCTTGCAGAGTACCCCCAATGCCTAAAATAATACCCCCACCAACCACCATCGCAGCATCAGTACATCTCTGGTTCTGCTTTCAGCAGGCACCACGCTCACACATGCTCCGGCTGGTTAACCTCGCAGTTCCAGGGGCAGGGAGAATGGCTGGCTGGGGCTGCAGAATGAGACAGTGGATCCGGGCCGCCTGCTTAAGCCATGCATCTGTGCACTGATTGCTCCTCTTTTGACATGCTCGCTGTTTTTGTCTCTAGTGTCTTTGAATTCCGGTGTGATGGATGATCCATAGCCCGAGTTGTTTTGTTGCTCTGCAACAAAAGCAGAGACTATGGGAAAGCATTAGAAGTACAGTGCATTAGAGCTGGTCCTCCTTCTGGAGACAGACCAGAGGGAAAATGGGAACAGCTCGGAGGAAATTATTATGTAAGTCCCAAATAAACTGGATCACTTAGAACTACTCACATTCAAGCTACCCAGCTGTGATGATATATAGAGTCTTACATCTCCCTCCCAAAGGTGTTGATTTCTCATACTGTGGCTAAAGAGTACAGGCTCATTTTAGAAGTGTAAAATTAAAACAAGAGTGGATTCAAACAAGAAGAGTATTACAGGACAACCTCAAATGAGTCTGCAGCCTGAAGTGATGTGCTGTTTAGCCAAGGCTCCCTGCCACCGTACACACAGAGGCATGTTTTGGTTAAAACAGCCTATTTCAAATACCTAAATAGAGTTACTGGAACTAAAAGGGAAAACCCTATGCCCAAAAGGGGGTTTTCTACTTGAGTCTGTGTCTGCACAACATTCTGTCCAGCAGGGAACCCTGTTAGACATGCAGTGGCTAGAAAGGAATTCACAATCAGCTTTTCCCAGTATGTAATGTAAAACATCTATCTTTGCAAAAAGAAAACAAAAAAAAATATATGTAGGTGTGTCGCTACTGTGTCCCTCTATCAACTCCCAACTCACAGTGCTTGAAATTAGAGCATCTAAGAGAAAATATAGCTCAAAGATATTTGGTAAAATAGTGGCAACCATATTTCATGTTGACTGTCACCCTTGTAGACTGAAGGAGTAAATGGATCTTAGCCACTCCACTGCTGGATCCATCAAAAACAGATGTACCCAAACTATTTCACATTATGTACATGGCTCAAATGCCTGTCATCTCCCACAGAGCAATCCAAAGCCTTCCTCACGAAATGCAACAAAATGCAACCTGCTTTGGACATCACCACTGAAGAGGCAATTCTCCTTTTCAGCAGGCTGCAGTGTTCAAACTATTCCCAGAAAAGGCTCATCTGTGCAGTTAAGTCCAGTGTGCTGAAGTCTATTGCCAAATTCAGACTTCTGCCTGCTTCCTAAAGGGAGGTACAGAAATTAACTGAAAAAAAACATGCATTCTCTCTGTACATTATTTGTTTTTATTTATTTTGTTGAATTTACAGATTACTCTCACATCAGTAAAAATGCTGACACCACAACAACTCACACTGCAGCCTCTGCTGCAGCCTCGTAGTTCTTGCACATGCTTTGTCAGTGCAAGGACTTGGACTTCTGTGAAATTAGGGAAAACCTACCCTGCCATTTTCTGTATGTGATGCTGAGCTGTGCAAGCATCACTAAATGAGGCCTTCCAAATCGCTCAAATGACTGTAATTGTGTGAACTGTTCTGTGAGACGCAGAACACTGACATTATCCAGCTAACATAAAAATATTAAGGCTATTGTCCTGAATCATTACAAGAACATAGTGTCTGTGGGCTTTATGACTGGTTAACCTCATGCTAGGCACAGGGGCTGAAATCTTCTGTCTTCAGCAGTCTCTTCGCTTCCTTAAAGCACGAAGAGGAGCTTTGCTCTCACTTCAAAGCAACAGATCATTTAGTTGACCAAATGCTTCTCAAGCCATCCATCCATCTTAATGATGATCGATTGCTTAAAACCAGAAATAAAGATAAGTGGGCAGAACAAGACCTATGCAACATTGTTTGATTTTGCTTTCCTTCTCTGTCCAATGCAAGAAAGAGGCTGTTGGTAGGTAACGTACAGACCACCTGAAATAGCTACACTGAATACAAGGGATTTATGCCACTTGATGATTCAGCTTTTATAGAGCTCAGCTTAACAGACACCCCTTCATTCAGCCCACTCCATACCACCAGCATTTCAGCAGAATGGACAACAGTATTTTGGGAGTTTGGGGGCTGCTCTAGGGTCTACGTGCCACCTTATGTCCATACCTCTGAACAGCAACTCCCAGCCCAGGCCCCCTCCCAGCATCATTCCGATTTACACTTCCCGGGAAGCCCTAGGCTACACATGGGAGGAGGATTTGTCTGAAACATTTCTGCAGGAGTCTTGTTGCTGCACAGGCGGTCTCGCAGACAGCATGTCTCTAGCCATCAACCATGAGCAGGCAAGCTCAGCTGTACTTCAGGACAGGGACTGACTGGTCTTGTGCCCCAGTAAAAGGAGGGTACACCTGTTTAACAGTAGGCAGCCGGCACGCCGGGCTCTCCCAGTGGCTGCAGTCGGGAACAAGCCAGCTCTCACCAGCGTGGCTTGGCAAGCAGAGAGGCCAAAAGGCCAACAGAAAACAAACGCCAGACTGAGGAAATAGCCTCAGAGCCTCCCAAAACCATGCTGCCCTCATCAAACGGGGCTTTCCCAGGGTTTCCCTGGGTCAGACCCATAAGCTTCGTCCTCCTGCCCTCTCCAGCCCTCCAGGGACTTGCCAGTCCAACCTACTACCCCAGCAATCAAGATAAAACAGCTGGGGCTTATATCCACCCCACATGCCTATTTTTTGGCTTTGCAGAGGAGGAATCATAACTTGAGGCTTGAAACATCCCAGAAACAAACAAACAAAATTACTGAGGAGTTTGGTGATCGGAGCAGAAACAAATCCTGTCTGATAAACGCACCGTAAAGTGATATCAGATTTCTGTGGTTCTTACAGGAATTAGGGGTGCTTGAAAATATTACTCCGCCACTAATTCCCAATGTATAAACAGCCAAGATGACAAATACTTGCCGTGTCAAGCTTTCTTTTGCAGAATAAATTACGAACTCAAACCAAAAATCGGACTATAAACCATTTGATTTTACACTAATTATGCACAGCTACAGTAACTACATGAGAAGAGAGCCACTGCTTACCTACCTGGCTCATTTTTCGGGGATGGGGAGTATGTGTGGGGTGAACATGTCCATGAAGCACAAAAGTATTACACTGCAGAGCAAAGCAGCTCAGTTAACAACAATTCCCCCTGCACTGAAAACTCCCTCTTAGACCTGGAACTAAATAGGTCTCTTCAGTAATAAAGAGTAAAAAACACAGTTATTGTGGGAAAAGGGGAAAAAAAAGAGAAACCACAAGAAAAGTACCAATAAACAATCTAGAATCCAAACAGTTAATGATAGGGTTCTTTTAATTTAGTGAGGTACTTAATGTACAAAGAGGAAGCTGTTAAAATAGCCATATTAGTCTTCTGCATGTTTCAGTGAGTGAACTCTGCAACCGAGCTGACTTACCAAAGCAAAATCACACTCACAAGGAAACTGCGGCATTTCAAAATTAACCTATAGATTGAAGACTGAGCTGTGGCTTCACATACAATCACAGGCCACTACAAGTACTCGAGACTCTGAATTCAGAGCACAGATGACCATCTTGCTGAGGAGGAATAATATACTGCTTTTCCTCCTCTCAACTGGTGCTGCAGGGCTGGCAGAAATGCAGGTTGGGAGAAGGCTGTGTTGAAGGGGGTGGACGAGGTTGTCAGCAGCCACTGATGATGGATGTGAAAGAAGAACAGCAAGCTGGCAGCATCCCCACTTCCCCAAGATGCCCACCTGTAAGGCCAAGAGGCATTTCCACAGGGCTGTCCTCACTAGGAGGCCAAGCCAGCCCCAGCACTGACTGCACAGGGAGGTCTGCTTGTGAAACGAGAGGTGCTTGAGGGATAAGGCAGATGGAACTAGAAAAGGGCTGGGTGAGGACTTGCTGGCCACAAACCTGGGGATGGAGCACACAGAGTTGTTGGGCAGGCAGGGCCAGCATCTAAGAGAGCCAGGGCATGGGAATTCTGCCAACAGCATAGCAGCCTGAGCAGGAGCTCTGAAACCAGCTGACAAAAGGTTGTATCACGCTACCACCATAAAAAAGAAAGAAAGGAGGAAAAAAAAAAAAAAGTGGAATGAGGACTTCAAGAGGAAAAAAATGAAAAGCAAAAGCTAACAGCAGAAAATGCTGTCTGGAGAGACCTGGCATGAGAGAGGAAACAGAGCAGCCAATGAACCGATCTGTGAAAGACTGGTATTTCTGGTGTTGTGAAAAGCAAGCTAGAGCTATGCAGCTCACAGTTTCATACTAAAGCCAGAGGGAGAGGAGGAAGATCCTTTCAAGCCATTTTCTGATCGTTTATTCAGTTTTGCCTCACTCGCGGACAGAAGGCAGCATGGAGTGTCTGCTTCACTGAGCTGCTGG